TGTCCCTGGGGCTGACTGCTCCTCTGTCTGGGTTCCTGGATTTTTATCCCCTTTCTCCTGCTCTTCTGGCCTGCTACTCTGGGTGGGCCTGAGTTGCCTCTCCTCACCTAATCCCTTCGGCTGACTGCTCTTCTCTCTGGCTTCCTGGCTTTTAATCCCCTTTCTGCTGCTCTTCCCGCCTGCTACTTCAGGTGTCCCTGAGTTGTCTCTCCTCACCTGTAACCCTGAGGCTGACTGCTCTTCTGTCTGGGTTCCTGGCTTTTTATCCCCTTTCTCCTGCTCTTCCAGCGTGCTACTCTGGGCAGGCCTGAGTTGCCTCTCCTAACCTAATCCCTTCGGCTGACTGCTCTTCTCTCTGGCTTCCTGGCTTTTAATCCCCTTTCTCTTGCTCTTCCCACTTGCTACTTCAGGCGTCCCTGAGTTGACTCTCCTCACCTGTAACCCTGGGGCTTTTTAGTATTTCTATATCCTTCTTTCCAAGATCCTCAGTTAATAACATGTATCCACCCATATGTTGATACATCTGTTTTATTTTATAAACTTGTTCTGAAGTCTTGTTGTTTTTGCCATTGAGTCAATTCTGACTCATGGCAACACCATTTGTGCAGAGTTAGAACTGCTCCATAGAGTTTTCAAGGCAGTGACTTTCCAGAAACAGATCTCCAGGCTTGTCTTCTGAGGTAACTATGGGTGGGTTTAACCTACCAACCTTTCAGCTGGTAGTCAAGCACTTAACCATTTGCACCACCCAAGGACCCATTTTTGGAGTCTGGCTTTGCTAATTTTGACCATTGTTCTGTCAACTCCTAGCTCTTCATTTTTGGCCAAGCTTCTAAACTCTTCATACCTGTGTTCATATATATATCACAGTTGAGGAGGCTAGAACTCCAAATTCAGGGTGCTGGCTCTAAGGAAATGCTCTCTCTATTTGCTCTGGAGGAGGATTCTTGTCTCTTCTGAGCTTCTCCTCCTGGATGGTCTTTATGTGTCTTGGCATCTCCCCATCAATGCTTCCTAACTTGTATGTACAATCTCTTTTATCTCAAAAGAGATTAACTCAAGATACACCCTACACTAATCCTTCCCCATTAACATAACAAAGACATCTCATTTCCAAATGGAATTATAATCAAAGGCATAGAGGTTTGGATAAACAGCAAGTATTTTGGGGGACACAATTCTATTCATAACATCATGGGTAGCAATAGTACCTGTTTTGCAGAGCTGTTTTAGTTGGGATTGGATAATTAATATAAAATGCTTAACACAGTGCCTGACATTAAGTAAGAGCTCAATCAATTGCAGTTTCTATTAAAATTTTGATTAAAACTATGATTATGATTATTAGTACCATCTGTCTATCCACAGCTGTTGGAGATGTCAATTCAGTGTACATAAAACCTCCATTAATTATCTGGATGGTAGAGAGCAAAAAAATCTTCTCTGTTCACAATACTGCTATGAAGATTGGGTCTACTTTTGGGACCTAGTGTGTAGAGTCTCATGAATGTAGATGCATGAATGCTTGTTTGATGAATGAAATGATCATTCTGATACTGATTTCTCTTCCTATTGGGACAGTTGCCAGAGGTGTAAGAGATTAAGATTGAATATGGACAGATACCAAGATACGGACTGGAGCATGTTGTTTATCTATTTTTGAAAGTGATACCCAATGTAGACTTTCTTCCTGTCATTTCTTCACATGCAGTGTCATGGAGTGTCAAGCAAACATATGATCAGTTGAGTTTTCTGTTACCTGTGGTTGCAGATATCAGTAATTTCAAATGTGACACAAGCTACAGTACACTCAGCCTCTTCTCTCCAAGAACACAAAATCTGTTCCTCTATAGGAAAGCATAACCCCAAAAGCAACCAACCCATGACCATTGAGTCAAATCCAACTAATAGTGATCCCCTCTGGGTTTTCAAGGCTGTAATTCTTTACAGAAGTAGATTGCCTCATCTTCCTTCCATGCAGCAGCTGGTGGGTTTGAACAACCAACCTCCTGGTTAGCAGCCAAATGCCTTACCCACTACACCAACAGAGCTCTTTATAGGAAAGCATACATCTAGACAACTCTGCAATAGACCTATCATCTGGAATAAGAGATCATATGGAACAATATTATCTGAAATAAAATTCTTCCCAAAAAATTAAATTCAGTTTGCACTAGTTAATTTCCAATTTGGAAGTAAATATTGACTAAAGCATTTGCTTGGAATGATTCAGCTGTAAATAAATTTTGAGCCCCCATTCATCTCCACAAAATGAATTAAGATTCAAAATCAGGGTACATTTGTTTTTTGGAGAATATATCATCCCTATTAGGAGCTCTTGTGGTGTAGTGCCTGAGGCATTTGGCTGGTGGTTCAAACCAACCAGGTTGGGCAATTTACTTCTGTAGTGATACCATCTTGAAAACCCAAGGAGGGGTTCGCTATAAGTCTGATCCTACTCAACAACACTGGGTGGTAGTGTGGGAGGAAATGATTACTACAATTATGAAATATTGATAAACTAAGCATAGGAATCTTAGATAAACAAGTTTCAGTTCCTGCTAAAACTTCTGAAAGAAAGATGGCACGATGGCTCAAATTTATGTCTCCTCAGATTCTTTAGGCTTTAATGTACTACAACTTGGACTCATACAAATTGCACCTTTTCTTTTATGCCAACACATTTTTGGATCACATCTTCTTCCATGTCAAGAGTCTTTCTCAGAATCTCTTCGCTGCCACATTGTCCCTCTAGCAGCCTACGCATGACCTGCACTTGACACCCAGCAGCCACTGACACTGTACCTTGGCTGGTTGGTCCTTCATTCTCCAGATCACATCCTCCCTGCCCTGCATCAGTGTCACAGCTGCATTTTATCATCAGTGTCACCATCTTTCCCTTCATCATTCCTGCCACTGCAAGAGCCACAGCTGCAAGTTCTAAGCAATGCAACTTTCAGGTCTTGTGAGGGAGAAAGGACAAGAAGAGGATGAACTCTAGTTTCCAACGAAGAATTCCCATACTGTCTCCTAATGATGGCTGTAGCTTGCCTGTCTTTCTCTTTCTCTCAACAACTTTAGCAGCATTAGTCAGGAAGGTTCTGGCTCTTCTACCAACTTCTGGACTTAGTGGAAGCTGAGTAACACAACTTGTAAAATACATGAGAATTAATACTCCATGGGATAAACATTGATCAACAAGAACTGGATCTAAGCAGGATCTGGCATAGTAATGGCTCCCCTTTCTTCCCCCACCTCCCTCCTCATGGATGGTTCTAAAACATCTGGTAACATGTGTCCTGTCTGAAATATTTTGTGTGTGATCAAGCAACCAGACATGTTTATTGTGAAACTGAGGGCAGCTTGATGACACATAACCTTATATTTGCTTCTCCTCCTTTCCAGCTTCAGTACTCTTTACCCTCACTCTTGCCACCCTAGAATTAACTTTTCAGCATAAAAGTTTTGCTTTTGGTTCTATTTTTCAGGGTCAAAACACAAACCAAATACTCTGTCATAGGGTTGGACCCGACTCATAGCGAACCATCCCTTGGGTTTCTGAGGCAGTATCACTACGGAAGTAGATTGCCCAACCTTCCTTCCGGGGAGTGGCTGGTGGATTTGAACCAACAGCCTTCTGGTTAGCAGTCAAATGCTAAAACAAGGAACTCTGGGACTACCAACTAAAGTTTTATGAATATCCAGTGGACTTCTTCCTGAGATATGAGCACCTGGCTAAAATTGTCAAGAAAATACAAGTTTCTGCCAATAATATTATACAAGGAAATCTTTCATCACACAGATGGCTTGGACAAATAAACACTAAGAGCCCTTCCAATCTGAAGATTCTGTTTCTGTGAAACACTGAAAAAAAATCTCCTAATTGCCCAGACTAGTCTTAGAACTGAGTCTGAAATTTGTATGAAATATCTTCAATGAGCATTACTTAGCACAGAAGCCATGCTGGGAAAACAACTTCAAGTGCCAAGAGGAAAACAGTGTTTTACTGGAAACCCCAAACTAATCCATATGAGAAAGTACTGAATTATCTACAAAAGAAAAACAAGCAAAGTAAAAGAGAAATGTTTGCCCTGTGGCTGTACATGATTTCTTGGGGAGTTGTTATGGATTAGGCCATTTTATCATGTACACTAGAAAAATTATGTATTGTTTTTATTTTTAGTCAATCCTGGCTAAGTTCCCAAATGAATCATCATCTTCTGAGTACATAAATTTCATGCCATAAATTTGCATTTCTATCTCAGCTTCTCCATCAACTACAGCCAGCCAACATCTATTTCTAGGTGCTGCATTATTATCAACTGTTGAGAGATAACTTCTTTCTAGAGAAATAATTTGCCTAAGTGTACAACTAAGACAGGAGCCAGTGCTCTGAGATGCTAATTATTTGGGTAATTCTGAGAGTATCCTTACACTCTTACAGGGTGGAGACTGTGGGGAAGGAGTGCAGGTCCGCAGCCTTTCTTGTGTGGTCCACAGTGGTTCAATTTCTCACACACCTGTACGTGTGGAGGATGCATTGTGTGGAGAAATGCCCTTTCAAGACAGTATCCTGAAACAGCTCTGTTCTGTGCCTTGCCCAGGTATGCAACTCTAACAATTGGGAGTTAGTCCCATCTCATCCTCTTATTATTTTTCACATTATCTTTATTCTGGAGAAGCTCTCGCCCATCAAAGCTGAAGGACTTTGTCAATTTTCATTAATTAAATTTAATTAACTAATGTTAATTGTGCTTATCACTTTGAAATATACTTTCTGCTTTAATGGAGGCAGAGTATGCAAACCAAAAGAAAACACTGGATTTGGATACTGAAGACCTAGGGTAGAATCTTATCTCTACCACTTCACTGTTGCTTGACTTGGGTGTGTGGTTTATCCCCTTTGAGCTGTGAATTCTTTATGTAGAAAATATGTTGGTTGCAACTGCCCTATCACACCGACACATTGACCAGCACTCAAAAAAAACATTGGCTGAATCCATGCGTGGATGAATGCTTGGATGATGACTTGTGGGAAAAAGTAAGATCACAGGTTTGTAAAGCACTCTATAAGCAGTAGCATTCTCTATAAATGTAAAAGTTACATTAAAAAAAAATATTTGTTGTTGTGAATTCTAACACAGCTTAACCTGTATGACATAGGCTTAATGTGGCTACTATATTATTATAATTGTGTGTACATATTAACATAGATGTAAATGCATTTTTGTGATATACGTATATGTGATGTATGTATATAGACATATGTATGTATGTGTTTATATACATACATATATATGTATGTATTTAGTTAGAATATTAAATATTCTTTAGGCCATAAGATAGTCCATTTTGCTGAGCTACTTATTTTTTATGTGATTTCTATGCAAATTCATTTTACAATGTTGCTATGCTGATCTTTGAAAACTGAGTAACTATAATCTTTGCCTCTCCCTTTTAAAAAACTTATTATCATTGGCAGACACATAGTATTCCCTAGATTCGACTATAATCTAGATCTAGCTTTTGGCACTCTTTTTAAAGTAGATTGAACCATAAATCACTGTATCATTCTTAGTATCTTCTAATTGGAAAATTCGTCAAAATAGACTGTATAGTATCTAGAATGTGCCTATATCTCTGCACTACAATTGCAAATCTCAACGTGGATTCTGCTCATTTAAATGCTGTCAAGTCCTAGTTTTCATGCTGTTTTCCCTCCCCTTCATTGCACCATCATCCAGGAGACTGCCATTTAACTCAGTGGTCAGAGTGGAGTACATGTGAATTAGCCTGTATTGATGGAAGAAGTTTTGAGTCTATGGGCCGCCAATCTAGGTCACGGGCATTTATAATTCAGTCTTTTGAGAACCAAGACAGCTGCCCCCAGCAAGTTCTAGAAACACGCCCTTGTACAGGTACCAAAAGCACTTTTAAATTCTTTCACCTTACTACATTAATGCTTATTCTATTTTTATGGGAGATGTAATCGAAGTACTGTTATATAATTTACTTGCAGGAGGCAAATGTTATCACTACACCTGGAAAGCAAGTCTTTGGAACAATAATGAGCGAACTGTATGGTGCCAACGTTCAGATGGCATTAATGTCACAGGTATTCATGTAGGCACTTCAGAAAGTTCTCTAAGTGTTCCTGTTTGTCAGAATTAACTTACACATTATAAGCAAGGGATGATTGGACAGGTAGCCTTAATCTTCATGTCAAATTATTTTTATACCTTTGCATCTTGGAAAGCAAACTATTATATTTAAAGATCCATAATGTATCAGACAACTTAAGTAAAGAATTACACTGAAACACAATAAAATTTCCTTCAAAATCATGATGTGAAGCAAAGAATGAAAAGGACAGATATTAGTTTTAAACAATGGTCACTAAAATTTTAAATCATGGACTTTATCAGTAAAAAGTTTTTGATGACACATTTCAACATATTATATTCCTGAACTATTGTGCTTATAGAGCTACATATAAATTTAAATTAAAAGAACTAATAAAGTTTCTTTAATTACAGCCACCAGCCACTCTGTAGAAGGAAGACCAGGCAATCGACTTCTGTAAAGATTTATTGTCTCAGAAACCCAATGAGGGTCACTATGAGTTAGAGTAGACTCAATGGCAGTGGGTTTGGTTTTGTTTTTTATATAAAATATACTATACATTACTATAGTGAAAAACTTTTTTTAAAAAATTATAGAAGCTTATATTCACAGGTTGGAAGCTTAGTTTTTTTTTTAATTTTGATGGCACATAACAACAACAATCATGATTATTACTGAATATCTTCATGCACCATATAGACGAGGAGAAATTACCTTATTCATGATCAAATCAAAACCTACTGCCATCAGTGGATTCCAACTCACGGTGACCCTTTTTTGAAAAGAGTGTAAATGACCCATAGGGTTTCTGAGATTATAAATCTTTACAGAAGCAGACTGCCTCATTTTTCACTTGCTGGGTGGTTGGTGGGTTCGAACCATCAACCTTTTGATTAGCAGCCAAATGCTTTAACTACTACATCACCAGAGATCCTCGTTCATGATAGTGAGTACAATTTAGTTGAATAAATGGTCTTTTCAATAACTTTAAATTTTACAGTTTTTGTTTGTTTTCTGTTTTTTTTAATGCTTTCTTGTTAGCATAGATTTAATTGTCATTATTTTTACATAGTATTGCTGCCAATAAAGAGCTTATGCTTGAGATAGAAGTGCCTATAAGAATAGAGGGAGCTCTGGTAGCATAGTGCCTAAGGCACTTGACTGCTGACCAGAAGGCTGGCAGTTCAAACCCAACAGCCACTCCTTGGAAGGAAGGTTGGGCAATCCTACTTCTGTAGTGATACTGCCTCGGAAACCCAAGGAGGGGTCGCTATGAGTCGGGGCCGACTCCACGGCAAAACAACAACAACAACAACATAAGAATAGAAGAATTATACGCTCTACCATATCCTTGTTCCTGCATTATTAGTATTCCCTTTAAACCATTTACAGTGATCTTTTTAGCTACTTGCCCATTTTGTGAGTTATTGTTGTTGTTAAAATTAGATAACCTGTAAATATGCCTCATTCTAAGGGAGCTCTGGTAGCATAGTGGCTAAGGCACTTGACTGCTAACCAGAAGGCTGGCGGTTCAAACCCACCAGCCACTCCTCGGAAGGAAGGTTGGGCAATCCTACTTCCGCAGTGATACTGCCTCGGAAACCCAAGGAGGGGTCGCTATGAGTCAGGGCTGACTCGACGGCACATAACAACAACAACAACAAAACACAGAAAGCATCCTACTTTGCAATATGCTGAGCGCAAACTAACTGGTAACACAGTCAGATGCTCTGGATGGACCTTTGACTCAGGTCACCAGTATCAGTGCATCTACTAAATATTATTGAACTTACTTTTCTTCTTAAAATAAAAAAATATTTATAAACTACGGAAGTTCTAATATTTTCTTCCCAGTTCCCAAGAGATTCCTCATTCCGAGGGGTACACACATATTTTAGAAATTTAGCTTAAAGAATACAAAATGTCCCTCTCAAAATAATTTATGGCAACAAGTCTGTGTGATTATTGACACTAACACCCTAATTATCAATTTCACACCTAGGTGCTAAATCTACTTGTTCCCTCTCCTCCCCTCCCCCTTTGTGTGGATTATTCATTTTATTTTTGAGGTAACAGTGAAAATGTAGCTGCTCTATTCCAGAGGGGATACAGGTCTGATTCTGCTCTACTCTGCCTTAGGATCAAAGCTTTTTGCTAGCTACAAATTACAAACTGTAACCGGTTGACAATTGCAGTAATATATACATATGGTATTGGTCTTTAAACCTAATCAAAACTATATAAATACAATTTAAATACTGCCCTACCATACTAAGACAAGTTCTTAGCCTAGTTGTTCCTAAGCTCTTTCCTATGTCTCAACTGTTTTGAGACCAGTATTTAAATGATTTTCATATTAAAGATACATACAATTTCCCATCCATTTATTCAAAAACATTTTCTGAACACCAATACGTACTATTTTAGATATATGATTGCTTCTCCTAGAGCTTCCGTATTTGCTCTTAAAAATGTGTGTGCGTGTATCTTTATGTGACTGTGTGTGTGTGTGTATTCTGATTATATACATTAAGACTATTACCACATCCAACATGTTTCATATTGTGATCCCATGAATTGATTAGTGGCATTCTTTTCTTTGGACACTTGATTACTGGAACCAGTCCTAGTACCTAGTTGAGACATTCAGGAGTCGAAAAATATATATCAAATGAGCATTTGAGCACATGTATTTTCTGCCCAGAATTTAAATAGAGATTTCATCAATTTTCCTACTGATCTTGGCAGTCACACACCTGCCCTCGACTATAGCCATATGATAGAATCATATTGCTAATGAGCAGGTATAAACACTCCATTCTAAGCATCCTCTGGTATTAGAACCTCCCATCTCAAACAAGACATCCAGGGAAAATCAATAAAATGGAATTGCACCACACCCTCAGCAGGGAATTGAAAAAATAGTACTGTTACAAAGTGACCAGTGTCAGAGAAGAGAAAAACAAAACAGAAAAAAGTTAAAAAATATTTATCAAAGAGAAACCTGTCGCTGACGATGGGCTTTGCTTTGTAGGAGGCTGCTCCCCTCAGGCACGCCCTGCTGCTATTCGGCAGTGTAACCCAGCCTGCAGAAAGCCTTTCTCCTACTGCACACAGGTGAGTCACGTGCTGGAGCCTTCTTGCCGTGGTACACAAGTGCTGTCCAAGTCCTTCTACAGACTGCTACAGCCCAAGCAGCAATTCTGCGTGCCCACGATACCATCTAGAGGCAATTCAGGAGAAATCACCGTTACTAAAAATTTCTGTTCGGCAATTCAGTCTTTTTACTATGCCTGTTGATAGCCAAGTCTGTCTGTCAGATGTAAAATTTATATGAGCTTTACCCACCAATATAGGTTCTAAGTTGATTTATCTCTTCTATTTTTAAACTGCCATACACCTAAACTATATTTGGTAAGTGTACTTTTGTAAAATTGATTAGACTATGATTGCCATAGTGTGAATAAATGCTTATTGTTGCTGTTGTAATGTGCCGTCGAGTAGGACCCGACTCCTAGCGATCCCTCCTTGGATTTCCGACGCGGTATCACTACGGAAGCAGATTGCCCAACCTTCCTTCCGAGTAGCGGCTGGTGGGTTTGAACAGCCAGCCTTCTGGTTAGCAGTCAAGTGCCTTAGGCACTATGCCAGCAGAACTCCTGAGTAAATGCTTAGTTTATTTTAAGTAAGGTGAACGTATGCCTTTGTTTGAATATCTATCTATCTATCTATCTATATATTTATTTATTTATTTGTTTGTTTGTTTGTTTACATATCAATAATCTTAATCTTACCCCCCTTCCTCTGCTTTAACTCCCATTCTACAACTGCTGAGTAATTAATGTAAAATATGTAATGTATTCTACTCAATGGGCAAAACTCATAGTGGGCAATGCATATAATTTTTTTTTTTTTAAAGTGTGTCACATTTCTTAAATAAATAGATTTCTTTTTATAGTGTGCTCATTCAAAGAAAAGTATTTCCTTGAATGTAATTCAAGCTCTCAATGCTAGTTTATGGCTCTTCTACTTCAAGGTTGGTTAAATTCTTTACTACAGAAAAGCCTGTTACTAGGCATACAGAGGGAAAAAAAGACGATCAGCTGTAACTTCACTTGGGCTAATAATCTTTGTGAAATACAAGTTGTAGCTTCCATCAACTCTCTAAAGATCCTCTTTAATAAAGCATAAATTACTTTTTTCAATGAGCCTTTAGCATACATGACTGGTTACAGTTTTTCTCTTAGACTAACAATAGAGATGCATCTTGAAAGGATTGCTCTAGTAGCTGAGCTTATATAACTTTTCTTAACTGGGTTTCTCCACTGATCACTGTGTGACACCTTCAATTAAAATCAGCTGAGAAATACTATAATGGTTGTCATTATTACATGCTTGTTATCTGCTGACTGAACTATGGGTGGTTAGTGATTAGAACATATGCTTTTCTATACCATTTCCTTTTGTAGAAGACTGAGGTGTCCTGTTTAATTTTAGCATCTGTTCTTTGCCCAAAATCATGTGTTCAGACAACAATTAATGATCTAAATAAATCTAGTTGAATGATAAGAATTGATTGAAAAAAAAATCAGTGTCAATGAGTCGATTCTTACTCATAGTGACACTGTTGGACAGAGTAGAAATACCCCATAGAGTTTCCAAGGCTGTAAATCTTTACACAGCATACCACCTCATCTTTATCCCACTGGTAGATTCAAACCGCTAACCTTTTGGTTAGCAGCCCAATGCTTAACCACAGCACCAGCAGAGTGCCTTCTAAGGAATGACACAAGTGATTAAATGAGGCTAGGGCCTGTTCAGAAAATGTCAGATAAGAACCCTAATTAAGCAAACTCAGAGAGATTCATAATCATATGTTGTTGTCGTTTTTCTTCTCTATTGTCTCCATGTTTGTTGGAGGTAGGGCAATTATTTTCAATTTCACTTCCAGAGACAGATAATCCTCATCAAATCCCATCATATTCAGCTTCCTGGAGAAGCTAATTGTACATAAAATTGACCTGGAATCCAAAGATGAATCTGAAGAACACATGTTCTGACACCGTCTAGGAATGTAATGCAAATACACAGCTTAATACAAGGAAGGCTGAATTTAGAAAGATATTTGGCTTCACTCCTTTGGATATGTGACTTCGGTGAAATCTTTCTTCCTCTAGCCTTTTTCTCTCTAGGCCCTTGGCTGCCCTCCCTGTGTGCTGTTGTTATTATGTGCCCTCGAGTCGGACCCAACTCATAGCAACCTCTCCTTGGGTTTCCGAGGCGATATCACTACGGAAGTGCAGAGCCAAACATAAGAACAGAGAAGCAGTACAGACAAGTTACGATCAGTAGTAGATGGTGGTAAAGACATTTGGCAGTTGGGACAGTGACAGACCTCAAAGAGAATATGCTTCAAAGAAGGAATATACATATTCCCTTGTTGCTTTATTTCTTAGCTTGAAGGGCAGGTTAGAGTGAGTGGGAAGGAATCTGTTACATCTGGGGATAGAGTTGAGTATCCCTGACATACTTTAAACATTTCTATAAGGGGAGCTATGGTGCTGCAGTAGTTAAGGCATTTGGCTGCTAACCACAAGGTCAGCAATTCATATTCACCAGCTGTTCTGAGAAAGAAAGAGGAGACAGACTGCTTCTACAAAGATTTACAGTTTTGGAAATCCAATGGAGGTCGCTATGAGTTAGAATCAACTTGATGACAGTGAGTTTGGTTTATTTTGGGGTATATAAGAAAGAAAATGATGTAGCTAATACATTCTATACAAAAGAATTGACATTTGATGTTTGGAAGGTATCAAAATTGTAAACAAGTTATACAATTTATTTAAGGGTTCACTTTGGAATTCAGGAAGATGAACTGGTTATTGGATTTTCATCATATGGAAACTAAGCTACTGAAAATCCTAAATTGTCATGTTTTATCATCCACATTAAGTGAATCTAACATTTAAATTGTTCTTTTGCATCTGCACAATTTACTATGTAACCATTAAAAATATATTCTTTTTGTTCTGTAGGGTGGAGTCTGTGGTTGTGAGAAGGGCTACACAGAGATAATGAGATCAAATGGTTTCCTGGATTACTGCATGAAGGTGCCTGGCTCAGAGGATAAAAAAGCTGATGTTAAAAACCTTGCTGGAAAAAACAGACCTGTGAATTCCAAAATACATGATATTTTTAAAGGGTGGTCTCTTCAACCTCTTGATCCAGGTATGTTTAAGTTATAAGAAGTGCAAATCTTATGGGGATGGTTTCAAATTTTGATGACTTCTCATGATGAGTGAAGGGAAATAGGAAAAAAAGAGATGAGGAAGAGGCAATATGATCTTCTCAAATTTGAGTATTGAACGCTATGTGGTCCCCTATAATGTAGAATGTTCTCGTGGATGGTTAGGATAGCCATTTTAAAGGATTAAAATATTATCCTTTAAAAATGTCTTTTAATTTTTAATTCTTTCAGCCAAAAACAAATAAACAAAAATTGTTGTTGTTGTTGTTGTTATGTGCCGTCGAGTCAAATCTGACTCATAGCGACCCCTCCTTGGGTTTCCGAGGCAGTATCACTACGGAAGTAGGATTGCCCAACCTTCCTTCTGAGGAGTGGCTGGTGGATTTGAACCGCCAGCCGTCTGGTTAGCAGGCAAGTGTCTTAGCCACTAAAATTAGCTTTTATAAATGTGAATGTGTTTACATAATTAAAATGAAAGTAAAAAATAGAATAGATTCTTAAGGAACTTATGAAAACCATCCATGGAACCTATCTGGTTTGGTGAAATGGTAAAAGCATCAGTTTCAGAAGCCTGTGTGGTTCTGTTCCAAAAAGAGAATTAGTGTGATGTCTAAGGGAAATGAGTCCCCAGAAGCATGAGTGAGGTCCTTAACCTATATTCCATGCATGAACTTGGGGATCTACCTAAAAGCTTAAACAGTATTGTGTATGTGGATATACATATTGTGCATGTGTATACTTTCTCTGAGGAGAAAATCTATTACTTTCAGTAGGTTCTCCCAGTAGGAGTATAAGCTGGAACAACCTCTTAGGAGGACAATGAGACAATATCTATGGGAGTTTTATTGCACATATATTTTGACCTAAAATTTATACTCTAAAAACATGTGATATACAACAAACAAAAACACAATGTGCTGCCGTTGAGTCGGATCCGACTCATAGCGACCCTTCCTTGGGTTTCCAAGGCAGTATCACTACGGAAGTAGATTGCCCAACCTTCCTTCTAAGGAGTGGCTGGTGAGTTTGAAATGCCACCCTTCTGGTTAGTAGTCTAACCAGAAGTTAGACTAGTTAGTAGTTAGTAGACTAGTTAGTTAGTTAGTAGCCTTAGGCACTACACCACCAGAGCTCCTTATGTCATATTCATCTACTAAAAAAAAGTATGTAAATGATATTCATTACATGATTTTCATTATATAGCAAATGACTGGCAACAACCTAAATGTCCATAAGTAGAATGATGGTAAGGAGGGGAGGGCTCTGAGGCAAGAAGCTGGAGCTGGCTGATGGCCAGAACAGATAAGGTGAAGGCCAGGAAGTGAGTGGAGCAGTTGAAGCAACTAAGGAAGACAAACTTGTCTGTCAGTTTATCCAGCTGTGGTGGCTTGCATGTTACTATGAGGCTGGAGGCTGTGTCAGCAGGGTTGCCCATGGCAGATGGGTTTCAGTGGAGCTTCCAGAGTGAGACTGACTAGGAAGAAGGAAGAGGCCATCCACTTCTCAAAGAATTGGCCAGTGAAGACCTTATGAATAGCAGTGAAACATGGTCTGGTATATTACAGGACAACTTTATGAATAGCCCTGAAACATTATCTGATACAGTGCCAGAAGATGAGCCCCTCAGGTTAGAAGGCATTCAAAATATGACTGAGAAAGAGCTGCTTCATCAGAGTAGAGCCGGCTTTAATGGTATAGATAAAGTAGAGCTTTCTAGACCTCCATTGGCTGATGTGGCATGACTCAAAATGAGAAGAAACAGATACAAATATCTATTAATAATCAGAACATGGAATGTACGAAGTATGAATCTAGGAAAACTGGAAATTGTCAAAAATGAAATGGAACACAAAAATATTGATATTTTAGGCATTAGTGAGCTGAAATGAACTGGTTTTAGCCATTTTAACTCAGACAACCATATGATCTACTATGTCAGGAATTACAAATTGAAGAGGAATGGTGTGGCATTCATCATTACAACGAATATTTCAAGATCTATCTGAAATACAATGCTGTCAGTGATAGGATAATATCCATATGCTTACAAGGAAGGCCAGTTAGTACTACTATTATTCAAATTTACACACCAAACACCAAAGCCAAAGATGAGGAAATTGAAGATTTTTACAAACTTCTGCAGTCTGAAATTGACCAAATATGCAATCAAGATGTGCTGATTATCACTAGTGATTGGAATGCAAAAGTTGGAAACGAAGAATCACCAGTAGTTGGAAAATTTGGCCATGGTAATAGAAATAATGCTGGAGATCTCATGATAGAATTTTGCAAGGCCAACAACTTACTCATCGTAAATACATTTTTTAAGCAACACAAATGGTGGTTATGCACTTGAACTTCATCAGATGGAATAAAAAAGAATCAGATTGACTACATCTGTGTCAGGAGGTGATGGAAAAGCTCAATATCTTCAGCCAAATAAGGCCAGGAGCTGACTGTGGAACAGATCATCAACTGCTCATATGCAAGTTCAAGTCGAAGCTTAAGACAATTCATACAAGTCCATGAGAGCCAAAATATGGTCTTGAATATATACCTTTTGAATTTAGAGACTATCTAAAGAATAGATTTCATGCATTGAACACCAATGACCGAAAACCAGAGGAATCGTGGGATGATATCAAGAACATCATCCATGAAGAAATAAAAAGGTCATTAAAAAGAAAGGAAAGGAAGAAAAGACCAAAATGGATGTCAGAAGGACTCTGAAACTTGCCCTTGAGTGAAGAGTAGATAAAGCAAATGGAAGAAATGACAAGATAAAAGAGCTGAACAGATGATTTCAAAGAGCATCTCGAGAAGATAAACTCAATTATTACAATGAAATCTGCAAAGACATGGAGTTAGAAAGCCAAAAGGTAAGAACACACTTGCCATTTCTGAAGCTGAAAGAAGGGAAGAAAAAATTTAAGCCTCGAATTGCAATATTGAAAGATTCTATGGGGAATATATTGAATGATGCAGGAAACATCAAAATAAGATGGAAAGAATACACAGAGTCACTGTACCAAAAAGAACTGGTCAATGCTCATCCATTTCAGAAGGTGGTGTATGATCAAGAAGCAATGATTGAAGGAAGAAGTTGAAGCTCTACTGAAGAATTTTGTGAAAAACAAGGCTCCAGGAATTTACGGACTACCCATTGAGATGTTTCAACAAACAGATGCCGCACTGGAGGCACTCAGTCAACTATGCCAAGAGATTTAGAATATAGGTACCTGTCCAACTGACTGGAAGAGATCCATATTTGTACCCATTCCAAAGAAAGGTGATCCCACAGAATGTGGAAATTATCAAACAGTATCATTAATATCACATGCAAGTAAAATCTTACTGAAGACAATTCAAAAAAGGTTGCAGCAGTATATTGACAGAGAACTTCCAGAAATGCAAGCTGGATTCAGAAGAGGACATGGAACAAGGGATATCATTGCTGATGTCAGATAGATCTTGGCTGAAAGCAAAGAATACCAGAAAGATGTTTACTTGTGTTTTATTCACTATGCAAAAGTATTCAATTGTGTGGATCATAACAAATTATGGATAACATTGAGAAGAATGGTAATTCCAGAACACTTGATTGTACTCATGAGGAACCTGTACATAGACCAGGAGGCTGTCATTCAAACAGAACAAGGGGATGCTGCGTGGTTTATAATCAAGAAGGGAGTGCATCAGGGTTGTATCCTTTCACCATACTTATTCAATCTCTAGGCTGAACAAATAATCCAAGAAGCTGGACATATGGAGAAGAATGTGGCATCAGGATTGGGGGAAGACTCATTAACAGTATGCAGTATGCTGATGTACAACTTTGCTTGATGAAAGTAAGGATGACTTGAAACACTTACTGATGAAGATTGAAGACTTACATTCTGCAGTATGGATTATACCTCAATATAAGGAAAACAAAAATCCTCACAACTGTTCCAATAAGCAGCATCATGATAAATGGAGAAAAGATTGAAGTTGTTGAAGACTTCACATTGCTTGATTCTACAATGAGCAGCAATGGAAGCAGCAGTCAAGATATCAGATGTCATATAACATTGGGCAATTCTGCTGCAAAAGACCTTTCAAGTGCTGAAGCAAAAAGATTTATCCTTGAAGACTAAGGTATGCCTGACACAAGGCATGGCATTTTCAATCACCTCATGTGCATGTGAGAGATGGACAATGAATAAGGAAGATTGAAGAAGAGTCAAGGGTTTTGAGCTGTGGTGTTGGCGAAAAATGCTGAAAGTACCCTGGACTGCTAAAGGAACCAGAATGCTCCTTGGAAGAGACAATGGCCAGATTTCGTATGACCTACTTTGGCCATGTTGTCAGAAGGGACCATTCCCTGGAGAAGGATATCATGCTTGGCAAAGTGAAGGGTCAATGAAAAAGGGCAAGGGTCAATGAGATGGATTGACACAGTGGCTACAATGATGGGCTCAGATACAGCAAGGATAGTAGGGCTGGCACAGGGCCAGGCAGTGTTTCATTCTGCTGTACATAGGGTTACTATAAGTTGGAGATAACTGAATGGCACATAACAACAACAGAATGATGGTAAGACAAAATATGGTACAACTGTGCAAAGGTATCTCAAAGAGATACAAAAGGGAGTAAGATACACCTATCTTTAGAAACTGGTGTCCTGGGGTGGTGCAAACAGTTAATGTACTCAGATGTTGCTAACCAAAAGTTTGGAGGTTCAAGGTCACTTGGAGTCACCTAAGTAGAAAAGTCTGGCAACCAACTTCTGAAAAATCAGTCCTTGAAAATTCTGTGGAGCACAGATATACTCTAACACACATGGAGTCACTCTGAATCATAATTGACTCAATGGCAACTGGTTAATTCAGTTATCTTAATAAATTTGTATGGAAATATTTTCAATATATATTATTAAGTGAAAATCAAGAAAAATTAATATAGACCTTTTCTGTGTTTTTTGAAAAAAATGTATTTATGTGCATGTTTGTGCATGTCTGTATGTGTGTTTCTGTGTGTGTGCAGTCATATGCCCACGTATATATGTAGAGAAAGACTGAAAGGATACACAGGAGACTGGTAGCTATGGTAGCTCCTGGTTTGCAAGCTGAGAGAGGGCAACAGAGACTTTTCAATACATATCTTTTTTAACACTTTGAAATTTTGTCATGAACCTTATGTTGTTTTTAAAAATTACATTATTTGTTAATGAACTACATGAACTTGTGAATGAACCATGAACCACATGTGTCTACACTGAGTATTTAAAAGCACTGTATCCCCTCAAAACTTCAACTTGGTGAGATTTTATGGGTAACGAGAAATAAGGTGTATTCTCACTCAGAGAAGATATTTCTTCCATATATATACACAGCCAATGAAAAAAACCTAGAATGGAGGATTTCATCATTAGTGTTTCAAAGAGATGAGATTCAAAGCTTTGCTAAAAGTGTAATGACCATGGAAAATAGTTTTACTACATTGATGTTTCACTCTGAAACCTGATTGAAGCTTGAAAATGTCCTGTAAGCAAAAACTGTAATAGGGAGCCATAAGATAATTGAAAGTAATTGTGATTCTATTCAAAAAAAGTGTTGTTTACAACATATTTTTATTGTTTTTATCCCATAGAAGGCTTTAGAATAAGATGCTGATATGTGTATTTGGGCCCTGCAGTTAATTACATTCAGGTAGTATAATGAACCTTCTGTGTGTGCACAGCTTTCATGAAAGAAAGCCATTCCTTTGGGATGCTGTGACATTGCCTTTGTTAGTCCAATTCTTAGATAGCTATACACTCACATAAAATAGAGAAAAACATTAGGTTGCCAGAAACAACTTAATTTTCAATTATTTATCAAAAAACTAGACATTCAATCAATCTATAGCTCACATAGGAAAACTCACAAAGTGTATTAGAATATTTCATAATCTGTGTTGCTTAACTCTAGAATACACTAAACTCACAATAATATGTACAGTAATTTAGTGAATTCATTAGCTTGTTTGGTCATGTGGGTTTTGTTCACTCTACATCATTCAGGATGTAAAGCCCCCAGAATGGTCTAGTAGTTGCCTTTGCATAAGGAATTGTTTCTTAACTGTAACTTCCTTCTTTGTTCTTTCTCATATTGGCAAAACTGTGTTAAAATCTTTTTCAGTTACACTTATATACACACATGCACTTAAATACAAAATAGCCTGCCAATTGACTAGATTTTATGAAATAATTACCAGTGCTTGTTTCACATTGTGAAAAAAAATTGATTATCTGCCATTTTACATTTTCACTCTTTTTTTGACATTTGATGCCTATCAGATATGGGTATTTCCAAGTATACTTGTGACCATATGGGCAAGTCTCAGAATTCAGGTGAATAATAAAAAGTTCAATTAAATCAATGTTTTAATGTCATGTAGTTTAAACCGACCTATGTTTCTGAGTACTGATTGCTAAAGACAAGTGAGTAATGCAAACTGTTTATATCTGCAAAAGTTCATGGTAATGGTACTTTGTAATATAATTTAGAGAAGCCTGGGAGGCACAGCGTTCAAGTGTCTGGCTGCTAAGTGAAAGATCAGCAGTTCAAACCCATCAGTTGCTCCTCAGGAAAAACATGTGCAAGTCTGCTTCTATAAAGATTTACAGCCTTGGAAAGCCTATGGGGCAATTCTACTCTGTCCTGTAGAGTCCCTATCAATCAGAACTGACTCAACTACAATGGGTTAATATGATTTAAAGCCTGTTTTTCACATAAATTTCTAGTAGGGAATCTCATGCCAGTGATGTTCCAGGAAAGAACCTTGCCAATTCCTGACTACATCTGGCAATTTACGAAGTATGCCAGAACATTACTAACGTCTCCTGTGTAGCTGGAACTGGCTAAGAAGATACTGAGACTCGTTTCAAGTTCAGAACTAATGGTTGACTTGGGGTTGTTAGACATTATGCTACTCTTTCAAACTATATAAACTTTTGTACACTAATCTTGTTCTTTTATCTCTATTTTAAACAGATGGCCGAGTAAAAATTTGGGTTTATGGCGTCTCAGGTGGCTGTTTTCTTATCGTAATTTTCCTAATATTTAGTTCCTATCTTGTTTGGTAAGTACTAGTTAATAAAAAGTTTATAATCCAAATTTTACTGAGTGTCATATTTACTACAAGAAAACTTTTGTCAGGCTCATTGACCTTTATTTATAACATGACCTTTGAAGCCACAAATAATCTCCAGCAGTAGAATTGGGAAACCAGCTTCTCAAATTGTTGAAACAGGAGAGCCTTATCTTAATTATACCTATTTAAAACAACAGCATTCTTTTTTTAGTAGAGCATTCCCAGTTTAGTAATTTAAGTAAAATCTTTTTAATCAGTGGTTTTAAGTTTTGCCTACATATTGGCATCTCCTCGGAATCTTTAAATAATACTGATGCGTGGGTCCCACTGCTCAGAGATTTTTATTTAATTAGTCTTGAGTGTAGCCAGGTGGTCTGGATGTTTAAAAGCCCCCAGGGCAATTCAAATATGTAATCAAGATTGTTGTTGTTGTTATGTGCCTTCAAGTCAGACCCGACTCATAGCAACCCCTCCTTGGGTTTCCAAGGCAGTATCACTACGGAAGTAGATTGCCCCATCTTCCTTCCGAGGAGTGGCTGGTGGGTTTGAACCACTAGCCTTCTGGTTAGCAGTCAAGTGCCTTAGCCACTATGCTACCAGAACTCCTGTAATCAAGATTACAACAACAGATAACTCTAGTTCTTAAATAACTGTTTGGACCAGTTAGGCTGAATTGACTAGTCCATCTAAACATCCTGTTAATGTATTTTGGATAGTAAGGCCAATCGTTTATCCAAATGGACCAGCTACAACTGTCAAATCCAGAAACTCCGTTTTTTTAAGTAACTAGGTCCTGAAAATTTATTATTCTCAGAAAAGTTATGATTAGTTTACTATACAGAATATATTTTAGTTGATGAGCTGCCTCTGAAACCAGACAGCAGTATATGCAGTTGAATGTTTTCAAATGTGTTAAGAATATTTTATTAGCATCCTAAGCAGCATTTTCAAAGTTTTTTTTTTTCCATAAGATCAAAGGGTTACCTTACTTTTCTCTCCACAGAGATACTTACATTCATTATCTGTGGCATGGACTATTTTCTTGAGAATTTTTACCCAGGTTTTAACCTCAATTTAAATCCAGCCTTTGTATATTTAACCTCACATTATGTTGCCAAGGCTGCATAGGTTTTTATATCTTTTCTCTTGGTCAGTGAAAGTTGGTGAAGAAAATAAGATGCCTTTAATTCTTTCTGCCACCTATAGTGACAGAAATTGAATTTCTAGAAATTGGATTTCTATCCAGCTACAGTTGCCACAGTGTGATAGTGAAAAGCAACATGTTCAGTTAGTCATTTATCCTGTAATCAAATGGTTTCTTAAGTTTTTATGTTTGAATTGATTAGTTGTTTTTTAAGTATTGCTTTTTAAGTATTTGTCTTAATGACAAAATGTGAGACTGAATGCTTTAGATCATCTCCCGAGTGATACAAAACATTCATCATTAGAAAGAGTAAAAAAGAGGAAAAGATTTTAAAGGACAACACAACGCATGAAGATTTGACAGATGGACAGTGCTCTCAAAGCATTAGGCCAGTACAGTGTATTTCCAATAATATAATGAGGTAAACTATGAGTCTTTAAATGCATAGATGAGATTTAGCTGTAAATAGCCACTTCCCCAAATTTAGATTCAAATGTGGTTCCTTCTTCCATCAAATATCTAAGAGAGTAAAAAAATTAACACTTAGTAACAATCAGAAATCGTTAATTTTTCCGTTTCTCCGTTGCCTCCAATTTAAAAATATATTAGCCTTAATTCATCCCTTCAATAATATTTATTGGGGCCCTTCTTTAGACAACTCTAGACTCTGGAAATTAATTGAATACTTCACTAAATTCCAGTAACAAATATAACTTTATAGAGTTTTCTTGTTTGATTTCCTGTTTGTTTCTCCTTACTTTTCAGGGGACAAATTACATAAATATTTATGCACATTATTTGTCATATCTATCTATGTTTTCCACGCCCAATGCCAGGACCTAATGATCCCCCTCTAGGAGCAGGATAATAGCTCCATATTTGGACTTACTACACCTGCTTCCTTCAGCAGTTTACGGCCATATCAGTCTTCCTAAAACCTTACTCCAGGTGGTCGTCTCCTTTCCTGCTCAGATACCAGCAGTGACATCAGATTGACAGCAAAATGAAGCTCATCTTCTTACTGCTTAGCCAGTCAATGAAAGTCTTTCATAATTTAAGGCAGAATAAATATTTCTACTGCATCTACTAATTCCCTTTCCACTGGGTAGCCTGGAGTGTTGCATAGACTCAGATGTATAGCCCATCTTCATTTTCTCATGAACAAAAAGAAAAGAAAATTGTTGCTTATTTGATAAACTTTAATTTACTGTATTTTACATAAATAACTTACATGTTATTCCCTTTTTTTTGCAAATTGTGCAACCCCCTCATGCATTAGTTTCCTATGTGCAGTAGCACATTATACGGTATGCATGTTATTTACATGAGGATGTTATTGGTAAAATATACAGATAAAATAGTGAATGATATCCTCTTATAATTAATCAGTATTCAATTATATATTCTCAAAAATCCCACATTTATATTAATATTTCATTATGACATACTCATTTTTCTAATTTCACATTGCATAAAAGTTTGACTTAAAGTTTGCATCTATTTTTGAGATCACTCTATCATTGATTTAGTCTCCCTTCCCGTAATCAAATACAGTTTTTCAGAATAATCATATACATTTCTATCCGAGTTCTTCAATACACAGTAGTTTGTCCTACTGTTTTCAGAAATTTTATGTCAAGAAAGCTGATCATTTCTTTGGTTCTGTGCATGTCTATTTATGATCTCCATTTTTAAAAAGTACACATTACTTTTTATATTGTAAAGGTACAAAATAGTTGCCATCATCAAGGTGATTGTAACTCATGGTGACCCCAAGTGTTCAGTACAGAGTGGAGTAGAACTGTGCTCCATAAGGTTTTTAATGGCTGTTGGCGGTTCAAACCCACCAGCCACTCCTTGGAAGGAAGGTTGGGCAATCTACTTCCGTAGTGATACCACCTTGGAAACCCATGGAGGGGTCGCCATGAGTCAGATATGACTCGACAGCAGTGGGTGATCTTTCAGAAGTAGATCCCCAGGCCTGTCTTCTGAGGTACTTCTGGGTACCCCTGAACTACCAACTTCTCAGTTAGTAGCCAAGTGCTTATCATTTGCATAACCCATGTTGTTGTTGTTGTTATGTGCCGTTGAGTCGAACCCTACTCATAGCGACCCCTCTTTGAGTTTCCAAGGCGATATCACTACAGAAGTAGATTGCCCAACCTTCTGCAACCTCTTTCTAAGGGATAGTTTCTTGGGAGGGGGAAAAAAAAAAAAGTGTTATCAGGTCATTATGAGACATACCATCTAATTCCCCAAGGCAGCTTCTGTTTCTGTAGTTTATGCCTTAAATCTCATTCATCCAGAATGAACTTTTCATCACTAGCTACTGAGATCCTATTAGTTCTTCCCAGCCCAACTCAAATACCAACATTTTCTTTTCAAACAGTCTGAAATAGCTTATCTGTGCCTACCCGGCAACATTTACTCCATGCTCATTGTCATTATTTGTGTAAACACCTCCCTCCTTTACCAAACCCAAGAACTTTCTTTCAAGGAGAAGGGTAATGTTTTATTATCATTTTAGTAGAGTATAATTTTCATAAATATTTATTGAAAAAAATGAATAAATAAGTGGATAAATGAGTGTAATAATGCAAATAAATTTACTTCTCATAACTTCTAAAGACAAAGTCGGAAGAAAGATTTAATATTTATGTGTCAAACATCGAGTACTGTACATAAGTTGCCTTATTTAATCATTGCAGTAATCTAATTAGTTATTATTGTTATCAATTTTAAGAGGCATAGCTAATCTCAGAAGAGTTAAATGACTTATCTAAAGTCACCAGCTTGATAGAATCAACTCCAGGTTTGCCTAACCCCAGAGTGTATGCTCTGTCTACCAGTCTTTCAGCCCACATAGTTTCTTCCCCTTGAGTAATTCTTTGTCTCCCTAAACTCAACATAGTGTAATATCTACAGCTTTTGTATTTTTTAGAGACTCATCATCTCATAGGTTAAGTAAGGCTATGGACCTGGGAACAGACCTATTGATACATTTGCTATTGTATATGAGCTGCCTGAAGAAATCTGATTAGATATTTTCACAGCATCTAATTCTATTAAACAGCTTGAAGGAGAGTGAGAGGATGATGGTTTTGGAGATTTTATATTTTTGGTCAAAATAGCAGGCTTAGAACAAGAGAACTGCTATAATATGTTGGGTCTTAAATGCATTCTTTAGATGAAAGCAATTTACAATAAAACTTGGAAATGCTCTTTCAAAAATATAGAAAAATTGTCTTCTTAATGTCTACTTTACTCAGCTGCAACCCTTTGTATATCTGCCATTAATGCTCAGAGTTTTAGAAATATTACTGATTCCCCAGCTTCCCTGGCAATGAAGATCAATGAGGCATTTTAGTGGAAACAACCGTTGGGTGAGCTTGTGTTTAACCTAGAAATAGTGCCTGGAAGATACCCAGGTAACTGCATCTATTTTGCCCTACCCAGCACAACTCAGTCATGGACTTTCATTCTTTCCCCAGTCTCAGAGTGGTGCCCCCAGTTCCACGGGCTCACACCTCACAGTAGCCGCCAAGACAAAAGAGTGATGCTTCCATCAAATTATTTAATATCTACTGCCCTAGGAGTGGGTCCTTGCGGTTTGAATTCAAGAGTGCTGAGAAGTGCCTGCACTTACCTGTCAGTCAACAGTGAGCACAGGTTGCTGGTTTAATGGTTTTATCCTTTGCTAAAATGCAAATGACCCTGGAAGAGGTCACTTAGAGAGTGTGAGTCAATTGCTTCTTACAGCCAAGGTTGCATAATGGTTTTATCCCTTGTGCCAAGTCTGATGGTGGGGGATGTCAAGAGTGCTCCATTAGGAAGAGTTAGAAGTCTGCATCTTGACTCAACAGGAAATAGTGTGATGGATTAGAGATGTCCACCAGGGGTGCAGGATGACCAGTGGTGGCAGTGGCTTATGTGTCTGGTATTTGTGGGTCCTGAGAGTGTGAGTGAGGTGATCACACCTTTCTTGATACCAAGTTTTGATGAGAACTGAGGAGAAAAAAAATGAGAAACATATCATACAAGGAAAAAATGGATATCAGTAAGGGAGGAAAGAAAAGGAGCTGAGGCTGTTAAAGATCAGCCTTTTACTTGCTGGTTTTGGCCCAGAGCAGTCTTGCCAGTCAGCTCCTCTTCTTTGGATTCTTTGTAACTGGCCAGGAAGTGTTGCAAAGCCACAGCTGCCCAGAAAATATCACCTTATTCTAATGGTTACTAACATTTAATAGGATGTTAATGTCATTAACTCCATAAAAGTTCACAAATGTCACACATTTGTAGTTATTATTTTAGCATCTGTCAATGGAGAGGTTACACAATATGAAAAGATTCATATTAAACTAGGTCCTAATCAAAATAATCCCTAATACACTGTCCATCTCATGAAGATCCAAGGTCTATGGACTGAGGAACTCACTGTTAGTTCTAGAGCTGACACAGTTTTCATCATTCCATACATGGAATCTCATATAAAAATGTCTGCATGTAGTTTGAGCCCAGCTGATAGGCTGGCCAAGTTCACATGTCTCAGAGACAATATTATTTTCTCTTTATAAAGATCCAGCCATCTCGATCTCTACTCCTTACTCCTGTTCTTAACCTCCCCACTTCCAGGACTTGAATTTCTCACTTCTCTTTGCCCAATAAGCCAAATCAAACCAGTTACTGATACATCAGTTCCAACTCATGGATGTCCCAATTGTGTCAGAGTAAACTGTTTTCTGTTTTCAGAAGCATATCACTAGCCCTTTCTTCACTAGGCACCTCTGAGTGGGTTTGAATTACCAACCTTTTGGTTATTAGACTAGCACTTAACTAATCTACCTGGGGAATGCTTTGCTCAATAAAAAAACAAACCTACTGCCGTCAAGTCAATTCCAACACATAGTGTGATTCTGCAGGACAGTACAGAACTGCCTTATAGGGTCTCCAAATCTGTAACCTTTACAGAAGGGACTGCCACATCTTTCTCCCACGGAGTGGCTGGTGGGTTCGAACCACTGACCTTTTTACATTAGTGTTCGAGTGCTTTAACTACTGTGCAACCAGAGTCTATGCCCCTTGCAAATACCAATTAAGGGTGAATTGTCAAAAACTCTACTTGCAACTATTTATTTGTTTGCTGGTTGGTTGTTTTAGAGAGAGAGGGAGAGGGAGGAGCTCTGGTAGCATAATGCCTAAGGCACTTGACTGCTAACCAGAAGGCTGGAGGTTCAAACCCATCAGCCACTCCTTGGAAGGAAGGTTAGGCAATCTACTTCCATAGTGATACTGCCTCGGAAACCCAAGGAGGGGTCACTATGAGTCAGGTCTAACCCAACAGCACATAACAAAAATAACATATATATATAGAGAGAGTTTGGTGAGAGTTTGGTTTTGGTATGTATAGTTATAGCTATGTCTTCTTTTCCTTCTCCCTCAAAAAAAGGCAGTAAAGAGGAGAGAGGAAGAACCTCTACTGGCATTTCAGATTTATTCTTTTATAATGTTTTTGATATTAAGACACCCCACCAACACCAACACCAACATCTCCACTACAGTAGACATATATACTGTAACTTCTTGGTTCTTCACACCTTTTCTTCATGTTATATCTTTAGTCCCTTAAAGTGCTGTGGATTAGAGCATTCAGGTCCCCATTTCAAGTTGGGTTCATTCTCTGTGCTAGAATGAGGGCCCCAAAAAGTAATTAGATCCACAAGAGTATACATGTTAAGATAAAGTTATATTATCTATTGTTCAGATAATCATCAATAGCTTTTCTGAGAACTGGAAAGGACCTGAGAAACAGGAAGTCTGTGTCTGAGGATCTTCTTGCAGGGAATTCTAAGTCACATTTGTGCCTTTCCTCAGCTTCTCTGCCTAGGAGGTGTTTGCCTGCAGTTCGTGCACTTTTGTTGTTAACTGCTGTCCATTCCCTCACTGGTTGTTGATCCTGTGCCATCCCCATGATTGCTTGTGATCTGTAGGGTTTTCATTGGCTGATTTGGAAGTAGATCAGAAGACCTTTCTTCCTAGTCTGTTCTAATCTGGAAGGTCTACCTGTTCAGCGTCATAGCAATGTGCAAGTCTCCACTGAAAGATGGGTGGTAGCTAAACATGAGGTGCATTGGCTGTGATTCAAATCCAGGTGTCCTGCATGGAAGGCGAAAATTCTCCCATGGACCACCACTGCCCATGTGCCAAAAAAACAAAACCAAACTCACTGCTGCTGAATTGATTCCAACTCATAGTGAGTCCAAATAGGTTTCTAAGGCTGTAAATCTTGAAGGAAGCAGTCTGCCTCATCTTTCTTCTGCAGAGTAGCTGGTGGTTTTGAACCACTGACTTTTTAGTTAGCAGCTGAATGCCATAACCACTACACCAGTGGAGCGTCTCTGCCCATACACAGCAGTCACCAATTCACTGATGAGCATACCCTACATGCTTTTTCCTGGGATGAAGGTCATGGATAGGGTCTGTGGTACTTTTTAGTGCTTGTTTTATTTCGTTTTGTTTTCTTAAATCATATTTTAGTTGTCTCTTTAGCTTCTTTAATTTCCTGCAAACATCAGGTCACATGAACTTTCCCCTTGAATTAGAACTTGAGCATTTTAAACCAGGGAATTATCTCTATTACCAGTTTAATGTTATGAAGCATATTTATTTTGTATTGAGGTAACATTCACATAATGTAAAATTCACCTTTTACCAATATACTTTTCTAACAAAATATGCAAAAAGCCACATATTGTATGATGCAATGTCTATGAAATACCTAGAGTAGATAAATCCATAGGGACAGAAAGTCAATTAGTTGTTGCCAGGAGGGAAAAATGCAGAGGGACTGTTTAATGGGTGTGGGGTTTCCTTTTCGAATAATGAAAATATTCTAGAAGTAGACAGAGGTGATGGTTGCACACATTATGGATGTTACTAAATGTCACTGCAATGTACACTTTAAACTGTGTGTGTGTGTATATATATATATATATTTACTCAGAGTATAAAAATTAGTTTCTTATGAACAGACTAAAAATAATTAGTCCCTTCCCAGTGCCAAATTAATGGCATAGATAAAAGGAAGATGGAAGTAAGAGCTTAAAAGACTGGATCTGTGTGTTAGACTTGTTTAAAATACAGGCTGTGCCACTCACTAAGTGACATTCAAGAAGTAATCTATCTCTGTAGTCTTTGTCTGAAGCCCTGGGTAAGGCAAACAGTTAATATGCTGGGTTGGTAACTGAAAGGTTGGAAGTTTCAGTCCACCCAGAGGCACTTTAGAAGAAAGTCCTGAATCAACCATTGAAAGTCCTGTGCCGCACAGTTCTACTCTGACATACATGGCATTTCTGTGAGTTGGAATCAACTCAGTGGCAACTGGTAAATCCTTATCCATAAAGTTGCAAAAATCCTAATGCCTGCCTCATAGGGTTGTTCTGGGACTTATTGAAATAGTTGATGTAAAATTCTTAGCACAAGGCTTGGCTCTTGGCATCCTCAATAAATAATAGATGCCACAGTGAAATAAATATTATAGAAATTTTGGGGCAAGGAAAGAGATCACTCCTTACTGGTGAGGACAACCCAAAAGAGAGCTGGGCTTAAAAGAACAGTGAAACAGGGCACTAAGGAGGGAAGGGTTCAAACTTTAAATATTAATAAATATAAATTGGGATTCACAAGGCATGCAATACAGTGTTCCGCCCCTACTCTGGGCTGCATACTTAGGAATGTCCTTCAACTGCAGTCTTTCTCTGTCTTTGCAAGAAGGAAAAGCAGCCCTCCTGACCTGAGGAAAAGCAGCTTACAGGTGAGAATAATTTTGCCTAGAGCAGAATCAGTGAAATTGTTCTGACTGATGCTGGTGACTTGGCAACCAAATATCAGCTTTCAGGCCAGGGTAGAATTATGGTTATTTGAAAGCAAGGGAAACTGGCTACTCCAGCTGCTTAAGATTTTAGTCATCAGTGATGTGAAGGTTGCAGTGGTGAGAATTAGTGATTAGCAAATGCCCACATTACTGCCTATAAATAAAAATAAGAATGGAGAATAGCCCTTCCACCAAGTTCATTGTTTCCATTAAGCCATTTTTAAGATTGTGAAAAAATGATGCTTTCTTCCTCAAAAGAAGTTTAAAGTATATTCAAAAAATAAACCTACAAATCCTGAGGAAAGACTCTTTTGTCCTCTAACCATGTGACTTTGTATGCCATCAAATTGTCATCATCAGATGAAACAGAGCTTCGGGAACATTCTTTATCTGAGAAATTCTTTTCTCTTTGCAGCAAGAAGCCAAAACCACAGCAAAGCACACCTCCGCAACAGAAGCCTCTGACTTTAGCCTACGATGGAGACTTAGACATGTAACCTGAAAAAGAAATCCAAAAGTAGACATCAACTGCCTTAACCACTTTCTCTTTTGTAGCTCAGACTTCTCAGTTTTTTGAGGAATCTCATGATGTGATATATTGGGCAGAATGCAAATATTGCAAAAGTAATTTTGCCTCAACTTCATGGACATGGAGTCAAAGATCATTAAGTCTGCCATTTTGTTTTCAAAGTATTTGTGGGTGTGAGTGTTTTTTGTTTTTTGGTTTTTGGTTTTCCCAAGGGACCTGAAAGCCCTTCTCTTCCTGTTTGGAAATGGGAGGAAGAAAGCATGATGGAATTCCCAGACTTGAGTAAACTTTAAGTTCAGCAGCATGATGACAATCCAGAGAAAAGGCCAATCAAGGCATTTACTGTAAATGATGAGTCTGACACTGCATCCTATGCACTATATTAGTGCACATCTTTATTCTCCCCATACTTCAACACTGAGTTTTCTAGAGTTCACATTCATCCAAAAACTTTCCAATTGGATTCTATTTTCATGAACACAGAGAGAATGGGTTACCATTTCAGAAATTCTCTGAGTTTTTACCTTCAAATATTGTATTTTGTTTTGTAGCTATGGATGGTTGGCACTTCAAGGGTGGGTTGTAGCTGTTAAAAATAATAGAGTGTGCATAATTGCTGGACTAAATGAAAACTAGGTGGCTACAGAGTGAATTGTGTATTGAATATTAGGAGTGAACAACTGGAATAGGTGGCTATATTGGAGAATGAGGGAGATTATTTGAGTACTAAAATTGTATTTTAATAAAAACTTAGCCATGCAGATATAGCATTAGCCACACACAATTGTAATTCAGTTTAATGATGACAATTCTGCTTTTGTAATTTCAATTTTCTTATCTGAATATTTATAAATTCTTTTTTGTTAATTTAATTATCTGACCTCACTTAATAGACATCGAACACTGATCCTGTTTGTAGAAAGTCTTGCTTTTATAAGGTTTCAATTATCTAAACACATTAAAAAGCTGAGACTGTTTTATGAAGATGATTGTTTGTAATCATAGGTGTTGAAAGTGAGAAGGTGCCATCTTGTGGTATTGACTTGTATTTATAACAAATAAAGTGCTCAAGAGACTGAAAAGTTGGCTATTCTAGATTTATTCACTTCTGAGTACCCTTGATTTGACGTAAACAGTTTTAATACTGTTTTAGAATTTCACAACTAAAATCACTGATAGAGAAAAAGAATCTTGTCCTGAGTCCTTACCATTATCTCTACACTACGAAATAGAGCCAACACAATTATATGGAGTAGCTTTTGAAGAATATTTAAAAATCAGATACTATTAAAACAAACCACGTAATAATGCAAATATTGATATGCACATGACCTGGGAATATGGAAATATTAAAAATGTGATACAATGGGTATTCTACAAGATATTTTTATTCACTCTATGATTCCATTAACCATTTCACAGCTATGCAAGCCCTTCAATAAACTGATTGTGTCCAGTGGCATCATGGTTTGGAAAAACAAAAACGTGAATGAAAAAAGACTAGCTCATTTTAATAGCATGGTTGAGGACAATAACTACCACACTTGTCCACATTAGCTGACGTTTCAATAATCTCCATAATAGTTTGAGTTGGCTTTGGAACTCAAATCCTGGCTGTGCCCTTCACTCTCTGTGTGACTCTGGGAAAGGAGTATAAATAATCTCTGACTCAGTTGCTTGACCCACAAAATGATGACAACAAAATTGCCCCTAGAGCATTTAACATATTCAAAGAAAGCTTGCCAACAAACATGCAAATAAAATATTTTCCCATAGTGATAAATATTATGATTAAAGCTACACAGGAAAATGGGAGAGAGTAACTGGGTAAGAGTGCTATTTCAAATACATTTGTCAAGGAAGGTCATTCTGAAAAGAATGACACTTTATTTGGTGACATTTAATGTTGAGCAGGAAGAAGAGAATACTCTACAATCTAGATAGACTTCCAGGTAGAGGACTAACTAATGTAAAGACCCAAGGACAATAGTAAAGTTGGTGTTAATTAATGGGCATAAAGACCATGGGGGCATGAGCAAGTATAAATGGTGCCAATGATATAAGATATACTTTAAGTCCTTCCTCAAATCTCACTTTCTCAGTGAGGCTTTTGCCAGTGGCTTTTTAATACTATAGTCCAGCTCAAGCTCGAGCGCAAAGCCATCGACTTGAATCTGCCTCATAGTGACCCTTCCTTGGCTTTCCGAGGTGGTATTACTATGGAAGTAGATCTGCAAATTGCACTCCATGTGCCAAATCTGCTCAGCTGTGTGTTTTGTTGGAACACACCCATATCTATCCTTTTATATATTATCTAGGGCTCCTTTTTTGCTACAACAGCTGATTTGAGTAGGGACACCAGGGACTGCATTTCCTGCAAAGCCTAAAATATTTACTATCTGGCCCTTCAAAGAAAAAATGTTGCTGACTCCTGCACTTATCTGCAACTGCCATTCCTGCTTGTATTCATAACCCCTTTTACCTTCCTGCATCTTCTTTTTTCCACAACTCTAATCATCTTTAACATACTATTTATTATATATAATTATAGTTTATTTTCTCTTCACAATGACATAAAATATCATAAAGATAAAGACTTTAATTATGCTTACATATGTTGTTGTTATTGTTGTAATGTGCCCTCAAGTCAGACCCAACTCATAGTGACCCCTCCTTGGGTTTCCGAGGCAGTATCACTAAGGAAGTAGATTGCCCCATCTTCCTTCCAAGGAGTGGCTGGTGGGTTTGAACCGCCAGCCTTCTGGTAAGCAGTCAAGTGCTTCAGGCACTATGCTACCAGAGCTCCTATGCTTACATATATACCCCCCAAAATATTTGGACTATGCTAGGAACTCAACAAACACTTGCGTTGTTGTTGTTGTTGTTAGGTACCATGGAGTCATCTCTGGCTCATAGCGACCCTATGTACAGCAGAATGAAACACTGTCTGGTCCTGTGCCAACTCCACGATCCCTGCTATACCTGAGCCATTGTTGTAGCCACTGTGTCAATCCATCTTGTTGAGGGCCTTCCCTTCTTTTGTTGACCTTCCCTTTTGCCAAGCATGATATCTTCCTCCAGGGAATGGTCTCTTCTGACAACATGACCAAAGTAGGTGAGACAAAGTCTGGCCATTCTCACTTCCTAGGAGCATTCCAGGTACATTTCTTCCAGGACAGATTTAGCAGTCCATGGATTTCTTTTAGCAGTCCATGGTACTTCCAACCTTCTTTGCCAACACTACAACTCAAAAGCATCAATTCTTCTTTGGTCTTCCTTATTCATTGTCCAGTTCTCACTTGCATATAAGGTGATTGGAAATAACATGGCTGTGTCAGGTGCACCTTAGTCCTCAAGGAGTCATCTTTGCTCTTCAGCACTGAAACATGTCTTTTGCAGCCAATTTGCCAAGTGCTATAAGTCTGCTGGTAGCATAGTGCCTAAGGCATTTGACTGCTAACCAGAAGGCTGGTGGTTCAAACCCACCAGCCACTCCTCAGAAGGGAGATTGGACAATCTATTTCTGTAGTGATACTGCCTCAGAAACCCAAGGAAGGGTTGCTGTGAGTTGGGTCCAATTCAATGGCACATAACAACAACAACATACATCGTCTGATATCTTAACTGCTGCTTCCACTGGCATTGATTGTAGAAACAAATAATATGAAGTCTTTGACAACTTCAGTCTTTTCTCCATTTATCATGATGCTGCTTATTGGGCCCATTATAAGGATTTCTGTTTTCTTTATATGAGATGTAATCCATATTACATACTGCATTCTTCCAACTTCATTAGTAAGTGTTTCAAGTCATCTTCACTGTCAGCAAGCAGTTGTTTCATCAGCATATCACAGGTTATTAATGAGTCTTCCTCCAATCCTGATGCCATGTGCTTCTTCATGTAATCTAGCTTCTTGGATTATATGCTCAGAGTAGAGATTGAATAAGTAAGGTGAAGGATACAACCTTGACACACTTCCTTCTTGATTTTAAACCATGCAGTGTCCCCTTGTTCTGTTAGAACAACAGTCTCCTGGTCAACGTACAGGTTCCTCATAAGTACAATCAAGTGTTTTGGAATTCTTATTCTTCTCAATATTATCCATAATTTGTTATGGTCCACACAATCAAATGTTTTTGCACTTAATAAGGTGATTTAATAAAGTTAGATAAAAAAGCAATATACATCATACAGTTCTCAAAGCCATGGTAAAGAAATGAATTTTATTCTAAATATTATGGGTAGCCATGGGAATGCTATAAACAGGGGGTGAAAAGATGTTACCAAGGTCATCATAGTCTCATGATTTCCTACACATCTTATCCAGGACCATTGACTGGAATCATTCAGCTTTAATACTTGCATGGCCTATGCTACAAATATTAGTCCAACAAATATTCCATGAATGAGAAATGAGGCTATGGTAATGGAAACTTCAAAGAACAGTGCTCAAGTGCTCTGCTTCATAACATTCCCCTATGAGAAATCCTAGGGAGAGATGAGTTTGGTGCCAAACTCTTCACAGTTCTTTAATAACAGCAATAAGCAGCAAGTTTTATGGTTTTAGGAAAGATAAGAATTTTGCAAGTTTTATATTTTATGTTTGCTTAAATGCTTGTGAGTTGTCTTCTGAGAAATTTATGCAAAGATATAATGCACACACACACACAAAAAAAATCCCTCACTGCCATCAGGTCGAATCTGACTCATAGCGACCCTTCCTTGGGTTTCTGAGGTGGTTATCTGTACAGAAGTAGTTGCCCAGTCTTCCTTCTGAGGAGTGGTTTGTGGGTTTGCTAGCCTTCTGGTTAGCAATCAAATGCCTTAGGCACTATGCCACCAGAGCTCTGTAAGTACAATTAAATATAACGTATCAACCTATATGCTGTGCACAAATGTGCCACAAGTGGGTTACAAACATACTGATATATTGATTCCTCTCCAACCTGGGGATGACCAGAGCCCTC